CGGAGGTAAATCTGAAGAATATTGGTTAATTGTACAAGAGTACAATCACATCGCCACATATATATTGTTGAATTGTGAAGAACTTAAGCCATACGAAAGGTACACATTTTTTAATCTTAGATGTGATTAGAAATTAATTAATTACATATTTGCTAACAACTTTTTTTGTAAGACTTTTGGACGAGGATGTTTTGGCAACATATCCTAATCTATGTGGGGAGGAACTTGAAGGATTGAAGGAACAACATTATGCATCTTGGCTTCGAGACTACGTAAGTATTCTAGCTATATATATATGTACGTGTATGTATTTGTGTATTAATTTAATTTTTATGCGCAGATTCAGTCATGCAGTGATAGAATTCCGGCATGGATCAGAGATATATCACATGGACCTGGAAGAAAAGTCATTTGCTGGCCGATAATGTTCACCCGAGGATACACGTTTCACACTTACGATCATGGAAAACATAAATCCACGTTCAATTACGGAGTTTGTATAAAAAGCGGGTCATCGGAAGATCCTGATTTCTTTGGGGTTCTTCGTCAGATTTTCCAACTCCAGTATCCAGGATTAGTCGGGTTGAAAACAATCATATTCAGATGTGATTGGTTTGATACAACGTCGGGACGTGGTTCATGGAAAAATCGATGGGGAGGTATTGACATAAACCCGAAACTAGGGGTGGGCGTTTCGGGTTTCGGTTCGGTATTCAAGCGGTTCGGTTCGGGAACGGTATTTTCGGTTTTATAAAAAGTGTACCAAACTAGAACCGAATGTTAAACGGTTCGGTTCGGTTCGGTTTTAGTATCGGTTCGGTTCGAAACGGTACCATTATATGAATACCAAATAAGTATCGAACTATACTATTTACACATATATTAGTGGAATATTCGAATTTTGGTTCGGTATTCATACGGTTCGGTTCGATATTCATACGGTTCGGTTCGGGAACGGTTCATTCGGTTCCATAAAAAGTGTACCAAATTAGAACCAAACGTTATTCGGTTCGGTTCGGTATGGTTCGGTTTCGGGACGGATCGGGTCGGTACTAAATTCCCGAACCGAAGTGCCCACCCCTATGTAATATTATTTGGATCAAATGATTCACTTGTGCCGCAAACTTCGAGTACGTGGCTCAAACGGTGACGTTTAGGTGTACGTTCTTTTCCAATTTCCAACTATTCCCCAAACAGCAAATCGCAACCCCTCGTCGCTTGTCGAAGAAAACCCTAATTTTCGTCTGGTAATCCTCAAATACAATGGTGGGCAGTGGGCGCCTAACATTTTCGTAGTTCATACTCGTCATCACGTACCCTTTTGAACGAAAGCTTACATGTGAGTTCTTCTTCTGGATAACTTGAGCTACATTTTTTGAAGTATCGACGTAGAAATGAAGAATGTAACGGGCATCCGTTGGAATTTATCAGCGGATTCAATGTTTCAACAATTACAACGGGTGTCCGTTGGAATTTTCCAACGGACACCCGTTGTAATTCTGGTGTCGATTCAATTGCTGCGCTTCGATTCCAACGGATGTCCGTTGGAATATATGTGATCATTCGAATTCTGCGATTCGATTCCAACGGATGCCCGTTGGAATTTAACAATTTTTTTTAAAAAAATTAAAAAAAATATGATAGATTTTTCAAAATACAAATACATATGAAAACAATAAAAACCGCGATGAACGCCATGTGCGTCGAACGGATTTAATGCTTTAGATTTTCCAACGGATGCCCGTTGGAAATGAAGAATGTAACGGGCATCCGTTGGAATTTATCAGCGGATTCAATGTTTCAACTATTA